ATGCCGTGATGTGTTGGAAGGACCCTGTGAGAAGAGTTCGGCACAGGTTTGGAACATGGCACCGTAGTCATTCATTGATGGCCTTCCCTAAACGAATCACACACGAATGAGGAGAAAGCAGATCGCTGGGCCAAAGGTTGGGCTATGATCTTTCACTTCCTCCTGACTAGTGTGGCGGTCTGTCTCCGACCCTAGGGAAGAAGAGGGGCCTGCTGCAGGGAAGGGCTAGGTGGTACCACCGTCCTGGTCTTCTCAGTGGCTCCCCCTCTGGAGAGGGGAGGCATGGAAGCTAAACACCAGCCAGGGTGTGACAGACACCCACAAATGAATTTATCACATGGGGTTTTTGAGAATTTCTACTATATGGGTGTAGTAGGATCAGTGGTGGAGTTTAATGAGTGACTGGTGTAAACTGATCAAACATCTTTATCAGCTTCTGCTGAATTCTGCCAAAGAAAAGATTCATCTGCAACCATTTTCATAATACACACTTAAAAGTGCTTGATAGCCCCAGCTGGGTGGCTCAGTTGGTTGGAGCATTATCCCACACACCAAAAAGGTTGCAGGTTCGATTCCCAGTTAGGGGCATGGTGTGTACCTAGATTGCAGGCTTGATGCTTGATTGGGGCGCATACGGGAGGCAGACAATTGATATTTCTCACATAGATGTTTGAATGCCCCCCCCCCCCAGGAGTCAATTTAAAATACCCTCGGGTAGGGTTAAAAACAAAAACAAAACTGCTTGATATATCGTAGACCCTACCTACATTTTTTTATAAGGAAGTTGGTGCGCCAATTCCAAAGGTGGATCACTTCCACCAGCTCTGTTGAATAAAGAAAAATGAAGCCTTGAACATTAGCTAGACCATCCCAGAATTCATACAGCCTTTTCAAAAAATGAACCCAAGTCATTTTAAACCATGGTGAGCCATTTTTACCTCGGTGTGATATCTCCGAGCTGTTCTGGAAATTGTATAGGCCCTTTGGAATTAAAGGGATGCTTTAGCGTCTCTCACCTGTGAAAACATATGACACATCCCAGGAAAAACGCCCCATCCCAGACACCTTTGCTCAGGAATGGCCCCAGTGCAGGTGATTGGCAGGAGGCCCTGGGTCAGAGAAATGATTTCTTAGGCCTGGTAGGAATGTGACATTTCCAGTCCCCTCATTGCCCCAGCGCGTGGTTTTACCAGAGGGCTTTGGAAGCACAGTACCCATGCATTTCCATAAACGGTTATAAATCATTCACTTGCAGTAACTTTATTACTGTGGATAGAAATGAGCACGTGAATGATATTTGTGGGAAGGGGTAGCAGGACTATTATGGGACAAAGACATCTTTGATAGTTTTTGCCAGATAGAACTTGAACGACCAGGCAACACTGATGATGTTTGAGGCAGTGTGTCAATTCGAATAGGACCCATTAGCACATCATGTCTAATTAAGCACTAGACCGAAGGACTTGTATTCTAAGTACAAAAATAATTTTAGGGATGTGATTGGTACCTTGTTAGGGTAATTGAGTCGACAGAAAAAGCTCATAGGGAAAATAAGACTTAAATTGGATTTTGAATAAAAGGAACAGTTTGAATAGGGGAAGGAGAACATTTCAGTTCAAGGAGTTTCAAAGATTTATTCAAGATAAATTGCCAAGTACAGAAATAATGAAATGGCTTGACAAAATTAATCAGAAAAAAGCTAACAACCATATGGTTTCACTCATAGGTGGAATATAAAACTGAAACTCATAGACACAGACAGCAGGATGGTGATTACCAGAGGGAAGTGGGTGTGGGGTGTGTGTAAAGGGGGCCTAATATATGGTGACAGAAGATGGTTTGAGTTTGGGTTAAAAAGAAATAGAGGCTTGATATTTTTATCAGATTGTAAAGAGCAGGAGATATTTCAGTGACAGTATCATAAAGGCATCATTTAGTTTGAAAGTAATGCCCAGCTCTTTGTGTGCACATGAAAAAGGGAAGCCAGCAGAGGTTAAGGGTTTCATGGGGTAGCACACGACCCATGGGTGCCGACTCTCGGGTCTGTGGAGGGCTCTACTCCACTGCTCTGCTGCCCGGGTCTGTGGAACCTCCGTGAGCAGTGCTGCTCTCAGTGGCCAGTCAGAAGTCCTCCAAGTCTTCAGCAAGTAATCAACTAAAAGTACGCGCAGTTTGCTCCTCTGGGTCACAGACAGCAGAGAGCCACATGCAGTTTTCATACCTGTTGTCATAAGGCTCCTAATCACTCCCTCTGTCGGCTCTGCGGTGGAAAGAACCATGGGAGTCAAGTAGAACTGGGTCTGAATTTCAGCTCCTGCTACTTACTGGCCAAGTTCATTATGGAGTAACTCAGCCTTTCCAAACTGTTTTCCGGTCTTTGACATTGGAATAATGCTTCTGTCCTGGGGTTGTTGTGGGAACTGTGAGGTGGTCTCTGTGGTGTGTTGTGTCAGCTCTGGTTTTTAAGGCGCTGTGAGAGCTTGCCTCACTCTCAGCTGCGATCCCCCTTGTTTCCCATTCCTGGTGAGCACTGTCTCAGGGTCTCCCTGTGAGCCCTTTCTCTCCTCTGACCCCACCCCCCTGCCCCACCCCCGTTCCTAGCCAGCAGGGATAGGCCCCAGGCCAGGGAACCTGCAAATGTGAGAGGGACCCTCTCTGGGCAGCTGCTGCCTCGGGAGTGGGTGCATGCTGAGAGGGAGGAAGGTGCCCTTGTAGGATGCCCTTTCCTCTGCATGGCATGGCGAGTGGAAGGGCCTGGATTTTAGTGCCAGTTCCTCCTGCCACTGCCCAGGTGCCTTCACACAGTGCACACAATGTACAGCTGTGCACAGCAGCCCCAGACACTGCCATCCACTGCATCTGCACGAAGCCCCTTGTCCTCTGACACGTAAGTGTTCTCATCTGCTCAAGCACATTTCCCAGGGACAAAGGCCGCTTCTCCTTTGGAGCTCTTCCTTGCATACAACGGCACAGAATGATAATCATCCAGTGAACTGTCTTTTAACCTCTGGTACACATCCCAGCTTTCAAAGCACTTTCACATACCACCTCCGTTAATGTACCCAGCAAACCTGCAATGCAAGGTTTCTCCCTTCATGGAGGGAAACAAAGGTTTGAGGGGTTAAGCATAGCGTAAGTGCTGTGCCCTTTGTGACTAAAGGTCTTCAACACATTTAAAGCTCAAACAGCAGGTTTTCTTGAATCATGGTGTGATGTTTACCCTGCTAATCCGTAGGTAGCTAAAGCAGATCACTACAGGGCAACTAAAGTAAAAACAGGACCAGTTAACGTGGGCTGCCTTTGAATGAAACCCATTCTAAGTATATTTACATATTTCAGATTTCATGGATACATTCAGAAATATTAATGTAGCATAATTGAAGTCTGATATGGCACCTCAAGTCCAGAGAGGAAAATAAATGACTCTTTCTCCCCCTGCCCTTTTACACCTGTCAGCGTTAATTTTTAACCACTGGGGGATTGCAAAACATTCATCCTAAAGAGCCTGATTCATAAATCTTGTTTTAAATTCTCTGGGCTTGCCTTTCAACCAGGACTAAAGCACTAAGGTAGAGTGAAATGACATTCAAAGAATTTTACTTTTCTCTGATTCGTTTTTTTATTGAATTTAAAATGTGGTCTGACATTAGAGGTTGTTTTAAAGTTAAGAAATGAAACCTTGAGAAAAAAAATGCATGCATACATTTAGATGGGTTGGAGTAAACAGAGGCAGGCCATCAGGGTTATGTATTGAAGAATAGGAAATTTTACTTGTACCCTGAAAAAGAAACATTTCAGGGTGCGTATGTTGGCATACAGCTCAGTTTTACTTCTGATTTCACAGTGCAGCCTTCTATTTCCAGAGACAGTGGCTGAGGGGGAAATGACAGGGCAGGAGTTCTTCACTCCACTAAGCAGTGGATGCACCTTTTCAGATATTTGGTCGGATGTCATTTTTGCGCATATGTAAACCTGAGTTTATTTAGAAATTCAAATAGACAGTCTTCTCCATGCGGGGTCATTAGGAGAGCCAGATATGGAGTGATGCGTTTGCATCATCTGAAAAGCCCCTTTGTCCTAAGTTGTTTTAAGTTAAATTATAAAGGTAGGCATTCATTTAACCCTTCAAGGATGATTTGGGTTCATGTTTTTGTTTGGTTTTTAAGTGGCCTTTTGTTCAGAAATGATAGCCCACCAAAACAGGTAAGAACTTGTGCAGGATGAATGGTGGTCATTAAACGTGATTTGGTGGTGATTTGCACATATGAATACAGTGTTCAGTCTATAACTTTCAAAGGTATTTTTAGCGGTTAAGGGACCTGCTGAGAAGTGAAATATGAACTATTTTTGCCTCAGAAATGAGTTTTACCAAACTTTGGGAAAAGGAAAATTAGCAAGACATATTGTCTTGAAGAATTTGGAGGGCTAAAGTTTATTTTTAATCATGTGTGTAAGTTCCCCAAGGTGTCTGTCTTTGAGTCTCAGATGAATGCTGAAATAAGTTTTCTTCTAAGAGCTTAGAAGCCACATGAAAAATATTTCCTACGTTATGACATCTGTGCATTTATTAGTTATTTGTTAGTGAATCATATAGATTAAGTGACATTTGGACACCTATTTTGTGTGAAATTTTGGACATGAGATGAATGAAAAATACTGAAACTTGCCTGGTTTTTCCCAAGCAGAAGTCACTGACTCTGTTCTACCAGCAGAGGGCTCCCTTTTTAAGCTAATAAAGAGCATGTGTCTGCAGATCACTTTTCCACCACTAAAACTGAAGAGGAAAAGACCCACCTCACACTTTCAGCAATATAATTGAACCTCTATGGTAGATGATGATACATATTGTGAGAAATTCGAAGCAGGGTTTACAAATCTATTTTAAGAATTTTCTGTAAGTAGAGGGTGTACTGCTTTCCAGTGGATAATTTTCTTCTGAAACAGAAAATATATTGTTGGACTAGAAAGCATTTTAATCTTAGAAGGTTTTGGCATGAATCATCATGTGCCTCCAGACAGGTATGCTTAAGAGACTGGTGTTTCCGAAGTTTCTAGCTTTAGAAAGACTTTTAAAAATAGAGCAAGATTATGCTGCTCACGATGCAAGGGTAGCCTCTGAACCAACCACGTGTCCCTGTAATCACTGGGCAGGAGCTGGAAGATGCACTTACACACAGTTTTTGTTTTCATTAGAAATGGAGATCTTTCACCAATTACACCAACGGAAAGTTTGTAAAGTCACTTTCACTGTGAGTGCAGCAGCACTTCCCAGATGTTGCAAGTAATCCTGAAACCGGCTCCCCGGTTCCTGCCGGTGTAGACTTTATATCAGCACCTCAATCTTTATCCCTGCGTGTGACCATTGGGTCACCTTCCTATACAGAATCTGAGGGTGTTAGAGACCACACCCATATTTCTTCAAAGAGGATTTGAAGGTGGCTTTTTAAAAATTTAGATAAGCTAAAAATAGAAAACAAAAGGTCAGTTTTGTTGCAAGTGTGAAATTTCTGGTATGTGGCTTAGAAGACATTAGCTTCAGTTTCACTTGTTAATTTTTATGTTCTCTGGCAGAGGGAAGTGAAGAGCAGGGCCAGGGGGTAGAGGAAAAGGAGTTCTGGTCCTCCTGCTATAATCTTGTGCAAACCACTTTACCCCTCTAATCAGAATTGTGTGTGTGTGTGTGTGTGTGTGTGTGTGTGTGTGTGGTATGAGGGAATTGCTTGAAGTCATCTCTAAATTGCTGTCTGGTTTTAAAGGTATGATTATTTTGTTTTGGTTCTTGGAGTAATAGTCAAGCTGATACGAGTGAAAAGTTTCTGAGGTCAAATTTTAATTAAGTCTGGTTCATTGCACCTTTCTCAAATAGAGGACAAACATCCTCCCGAAAGATATTCCATCTGCTTGCCCTTCTCCCATCCTTTGCTCCATGTGGCCATCGCATGAACCCGATGCAGACACCCCTCCTAATTATTACAAAACCCTCTGGCTATTGAAGCTCAAGTTGCAATTGACTATAGAAATAGCTGCAGCTGGGGTTTTTCTCTCTCAGTCTTCATGTGGTCGTGGAGCATGGTATCTATGCAGAGTTAGGGTCATCTTCCCTAGGACTTGAAATATTTTTTTAGACCTGTTCCCTGCCCAGTTGCTGCCTAGGGCTTTCCTGTTACACCTGCGGGCTGCCTGTGCTTGTGTGTGGGAGGAGGTGGACTGAGCAGAGCATGGTGTTCTGGGCCATTCCGAGGGTTCAGGCCTTTACAAGCAGGGCTTTGATTCTATTTTTTGCTGAACTAGCTCAGCCACTTCCTGTGTTTGGCTGCGCATAGTGCCTCGCTTCACTGTGGCCACTTGAGCCCGTCGAGCCAGCGAGCGCGCTGCCGCAGCCAGTTAGAGAGCCTATTTTAGGTCCCTGCACAATGGCCTTCTCATTTCCTCGGTGAAAATGAGCGAGTTGGGCTGGCATTGGCCACTTGTTAGCAGATGACAACTTTGACTTTGACTTGGGCTCTCCTCCCCTCCCCGAGATCCCTGGCTCAGCAAATATTTGAACCTGCCCAAGTTAATCATGAAGCCGCGATCTTTATCTGCGAGAGCCCTGCAAGCGCCCGTGCCTTTTCCCTCCGGGGTACTGGACCCACGTCCAGCGGCTGTCTCCGCGGGGAGCCGGTGAGGGTGCAGTGGCACGACCCTCCTTTGGTCCCAGGGGTCCTGCGCGCTGGCAGCCAGCACCGCCTGCCTGAGAGCCGTGGGGGGAGCCGCGGGGGCTGGTCCTGCCGGCTGGAAGAATAGCTCTTTGGATTTTTTTTTTCATTGTCGGATACAGGCTTTCAAAGAGAAACCGTTGAAATGCATAACCTGCAAAGTAAGTTGCTTTTAATTTATGCACTTCTCTGCCCCTTCGCTGTTGCATTAAGGTTTTTTTGTTGTTTGTTTTATTGTGGTGTATCTTTTTTTTTGTAGTTCTGAGTGAGTGAGTGAGAGAGAGAGAGAGAGAGAGAGAGATTAAGCACTCCCTGGGGAGGGCAGATGGCAGATGAGGGAGATACTCCTTTCCTGGAGGGGCACAGGGTGAGGGAAGGATGGGGTTAGGTTGGAAGCGGGAAGGAGGTAATTACAGTGCCGGGCTGGAAGTTGGTGCCTGGCCAGGCCTGGGAGAGACGTGGAAAATCACCTGTCTCCCTGCTCCCTGTGCCACATGGGCTCCCTTTTCAGCCCTGGTTTGCACCAAGTGTTTCCAGGGCATGTGGCCCTCTGTTGGAGGCTAGAACTTGTCTCCCTTCCT